CACACTCCAGGTGAGCCAGGCTGTGCTGGTCTCTATACTGAAGTGCTGTTGAAAATAAAACGACAGAACGTGTTCAAGTTAGCTTCGGCCTCGGCTGATACATCATGCAGCCTGTTTGAAAGTCATTGTTTTATCATTTAGATGCTGCACAACATGAAGGGTCAGTTTGCTGACCATCTCATGAACACAGGCTTCGTCAGCAGCAGGGACCCCAAAGATCCCAAATCTAATGTCAACTCAGGTAACTGTCTGAAAGTGGTCTTTTTTTTATGGGATCTTAAACGGAGCATTAATTCAATTCAATATGGGACATGTATATGGAGCAGAACTCATTTGTTTTTCCTCTAACTCTCACTTCCTTCCTCAGACAATGAGAAGTTAATCAAGGCAGTGATTGTAGCCGGCCTCTACCCGAAGGTGGCCATGATCAAACCATCTCACAGCAAAAAGAGGCCGGGGTGAGTCTGCTAATTCAAAGAGGGAGCTGAACATAGACGGATAGCAAAGAGCTGCAGAGCATAGAGAAGTGCACATCATCGTTATTGATCTTTAGACAGAAATGGAGGCGTCACACTCAGTAGACCTCTCAGGTAAGAGCTGTGACAATTACCTGAGGCTGTGCCGAAACAATGTTAAGAAAATTGTAAAAAAAAACAGAGGCAGTTCTGCAGCTAAAGATCAGCGCACTCATCATAAAATTGCCCTCAGGCAGCTGTCGTAGAGTGTGTGCAAAAGACAGACAGACGCACGCTACAGGCGGACCCATCCTCTCACAGTAGAGCTGTCACTGTTGTTCGTCAGTGACCCAGTTGCACAGTGAGATTGTGATGGTAAGTCATTCTCAACAGTGTTGATGGCAAGCCAAGTGTTCCCGTCCTCACCACATCTCTGAGTTATTTCATGGATTTATGGCTCGATGAAGAACTTGTTGTTTGTTTTGCTGCTGTCTGGTACAAGCAGCTTTGTTCCCTGCAGTCAAGCAGTCTGTTTTGTCTTGCTGACACAAACACAGTGTTACTTTTATTTAAAGGTTTGCCGACTGCGTCACAACTTGTCTTTGGAAGCCTCTGAGCTAAAATGAAGGAGGCTTTCTTTGTTGCGTCGTATAAACAAGACTAAAGCATCTGATGGGATGTTTCCAAAACTACGTTCTCAATCAAATCATTTTAATTTAAAGGTCACATGTCATGGCCATTTCCACTGATCAAAATTCCATTGTTGAGGTCTACTAGAATAGATTTATACTGTGCAATTTTCCAAACTCACATTGGTTTCGCATACAGCATCTCTGTAAACTACGTGTATTCACTCTCTCCACTAAACGGCTCGTTGCAGCTCGTTGCAGCTCTTGCCCCCCCCCTCCCTGTGTGCTCCGATTGGTCGGGACCAGTCGGGACGTTGTGAATCGCGCTAAGCTCCGTGGAGGTGTGATTTCCTTGTTTAGCGAAACACAGCCAAACACAGCCAAACTCACCCTGAGCACACACAAAGTCACAGCCGAAGTAAAAACAATAAGTGTGGCTTGATATTGAGTAAGAAAAGGGTTGATCAACGCTGTGAGAATGGGTCTGCAGAGAGAATGGGTCTGCAGAGAGAATTTCACCGCGATCCCAACTGTCTGTTATCAGCCTGCAGCCAGGGAGGAGAAATCAGCAGAGCTGCCTGCACTGAGTGTGTGAGGAAGTCAGTGGATTGGTCAATTTGGACCAATCAGCGGGGGCTTAGTGTAACGGCTCTGCGGATTGGTCCATTTCGTTCCCGGGGACGACATGACATCATGATGTCCCCGGAAGAATCAAATGGACGGTGACGTATCTCCAACGAGGCGTTTTGGGGAGGTATTTTCTGTTTTAGAGTTTTACATGGTGTACTTTGAGGGTTTTGACTCTGCACACCGTTTACATGCATAAAAACCTTCATAACATACAAGGGGACGGGTACTAACCGGAAAAGCATGACATGTCACCTTTAAATGAAGATTCATTTTAACAAAATGTATTCTGGTTATTTGGACCAAGTGATACAATCAAATAATATATCTGTTTTAAGTGTAATAAAGTAGGATCTCTGTAAAACATTAACACATACTGAAAGGGTGCTCTCTGGTTTCGAGTTTTCCTCTAATAAGACAATGGACAGAAAAAAAACAAATCAAAATCTATGCAGCATAAATGGAGTGATTGTGATTAAAAAAAATCGTCTTCCTTTACATATCAGCAACGCAAATTAAATTCACTGTACAGATTAAGGTTAGTTAGTGTTACCAACATTGCCCCATGTGACATTATTTGAGACAATATTTGTATTATGTTGTAAAATATTTGGAGTTCCCTTTCCCTTTATATCTCTTTATCATATACTGAAGTCCTGGAAACATGTGTGTCAACAATTCTGTTTTAAACCAGCTATGACAACTAACAATTATTTAGGAAAATATAACTATAACAGTTTTCACAACACTGATGGTGTCTACTTCCAATTCCTTGTTCTTTTTGGACAAAAGATGAAAACGTTAGTTGGTCCATTAACAAAGTTGCTGCAAAATGTCTGTCAACCAAGAAATCCCTAAACATTGCCCTATCATTGCTTTTAACACCTTCAGCAATGATACCAGTTTCACATTCTCTCCTTTTCTCAGTTATCGAGATAACGATGCTAAGAAAATCGACCCCATTTTGCCAACCGAGTGTTTGAGATGTGAACACACCACACTAACATATTTTATTTCTCAGGGTCAAAGTGTACACCCAGGCTGATGGAAAGGTGTGCATCCACCCAAAATCAGTCAATGCTGAAGAGACGGAGTTCAACTACAAGTGGCTCGTCTACCACCTGAAGATGAGAACGAGCAGTGTGAGTAGGCGAGGGGATAAATAAGCACATAATACTGCGTTTCAACTGCTGCATGAATGTTTATTATAGTTGAGTGTGCATTGCTGGGTTGGATCTGTACATATGAAGGGTGCATGTGAGTGGAAAAAGGGCCATTGGTTAAAGGTTGGCAGTGGTGCCACGCCAGCTTTCCACTGAATGAATATTTGATTAAAACGCTGCCTTTCAACTCTCTCTCAAAGGCGCTTGTGCTTCAAAGCCTCCAGACACAATGTAAGAGGTGGTGATGGGGGGGGGGGGCAAAACGGTCAATGCGGCACCCTGACTACTTCTATCTTTTTCGCTGTTTTTTCTACCCCTCTTCACCCTGCCATTTTCACCTCTCTCCCATCCACCCGTCTTTGTTCTTTCTGTGGTGTCTCTCTTTGTGAGTGTTACCATTCGGCAGAAAACACCTTTCATGTCCTCTCTGATTGCCGCCTGTGCCTTTGTCTCTCCCTTTGCTGCCTATAAAGATGTTTTTGTTGTTGCTGGATTTCACCATTATTTTTGCCACCATTCAATGTTTTTAAATGTTTATTATTTTATTTTTTGTGTGGTCTCTATGCATTTGTGTCTCTTATGAAAGTAAGGTATTCTGAGACTGTGAGATGTCCAAGGTTGCTTAAAGAGAGAGAAAGGAAAGCAGAAGACCAGGGCCATTTAAATTGAAGGATGACGTCAAACTTTATCTCCTCTGACGCATGTGCCTCTGGTGATCCATTACATTACACATTCATGGGGCAAATGCAGTTTCTCTCCTCGTCTCTTTTCTTCACCTTTTGTCTACTTCTCTCTGATACTCGTTACCAACATTTATTTATGTTACCTTGCTGAAATAGCTTTTGTTTGACTTAAGCGTCTTTGGGTTCAAGAAAAGCGCTATAGAAATAAAATGTATTATTATGTCTGCTGCTTATGTAAACTCTATGGCTTTGGCCTTCAGAGGGTCTGCATACAGATCAGTGCAGAACATAAAAGCAACAGTTCTATGTACTGTCTGAGCATTGAAAACGTACCTTGTCATTTCTTTTATCAAATGTTTTTTTTTATTTGGATACACCTACTATGGATGAGCAGCTGTCACAGGGAGAGAAATTGATGGAAAACACATTTGCGAGATTCACTAACAGGGCAACATGACATTTCTCCTAACACTGGAGGCACTGAAACACATTTCAAACTTGCACGGCCACTCTTCACCAATAGGACACTTTCAGCCCACACCACAGAGTGGCTGTAGGGCCATGTGTGTCATAATGATCCCGCTCACTGCCACCGAGCGTGTTAACGTGTTTGTTTGAAATCTCCCGTCGTGGTGTGTTTGCATCATCTCTCTGCTTGTCCTCAGATCTTCCTGTACGATTGCACTGAGGTGTCCCCGTTCTCACTGCTGTTCTTTGGAGGAGACATCACAATCCAGAAGGACGAGGACCAGGAGACCATCGCCGTGGACCAGTGGATCGTCTTCAACTCCCCGGCACGCATCGCTCACCTGGTCAAGGTAGGTGACAGGATGCACTCAAAACAAAGCTAATGGTGAGTTGAGTCAACTGACCTCCCCTTCCGGTCTTTTTCTACAGAGTTTAAAGAAAGAGTTGGATTCTCTTCTGGAAGAGAAAATTCGTAACCCTGCTCCTGTAGACTGGCAAAACCGTCAGTCCACAGACTGTGCTGTCATCACCGCCATCATAGACCTCATCACCACCCAGGATAAGCCTACAGTCAGCACCAAAGGCAGATTATGGAGGCCTGCTCCGAGAGGACAACACACTCACTTCAAAGACGGCAATGATGATTAGAAGAGGCCAGGTTCTTGGTTGGATATGAAAAGAAGAACTTCGAACCTAAATCCTTGGACACAGAGGTTAGATGAGATATTCATAATAACCAGCTGGTCTCCTTGATGATGCTCCTGAAGGCCAAACCCAGGGCGCAAGATTACTGGAGAACATTCTGCACTGTAATTGTTTGCCTATTCTGTCATTATTTTTGCAAGGACCAATCCGTGTTTGGATACCCTCAGTAGCTGTTTTGTTTATTTTGTGCAATTCTGGTTAAGTTAAATCTAGCTCTTATTTTCAAGCAATATCACTTATGGACTGCGCAATAAAGAAAAAATGGACGAACAAAATGTCTGGGTCAGTTTAATCTGCCCTGCTGTGCTGTACAATTGTAGGAATTCAAACACAAAATAACCATTACCCATGGAATGGAATTTTTCTGAGTGAATGTGGGATTGCACAATTTCTTCAGAGCTTTGAGAGAGCAATCACTAACATCACCTGGGTAGTATTTGGTTGGAAGGAACACCTGCATAGCTGTAAACCTTCAGCAGCACACGGCTGCATATTTGATTTAAAAGCCCAAATCTCAAACGTGCTATTGGCTCAGGGATTTATGCACCTTCTTGATGTATCTGCACTGAATGTCCAGAGAACTCATGGTTGATTTATTTAGTTCACTTGATGAATACAAGTAGTCATTTTCTTTGGTCTATCTATCATAGGTGCTTAGGGAAAAGAGATGTCATGTTGAGAGTCCATGACAGGCTCAAAGCAATCCAGCTTTTATTTATAGTGGCTGATTGAAATTCATAAAGTTGACAAGACAAGTTTCTGCAATATAAATCTGTATTTTAAAAAAAACATGTTACAATTCAGGCTGTTTTACATATTTACATGTTCACAGATTTACAATAGTTACAAGTCAAGGAAGCAATTGAAATAAAATAAAAAAATATGCTTAGATGTGTGGTAACACATTTCATTTTCCCTGAGTGCAAACGCAAAGCTTCATCTATACTCGGGTCCTTCCAGCTGGAGGCTCTGCCATACCTGTCATACCTCGCTTCATGCAGCTCACCAGTGGTTGTGGTTGTCATTTGGGCTGGGCCAGAGTGTTGGGATTGATAGGTTGTGTTATCACCACACTCTGACCAAGCCATTCATTTACTTTGGCTGGGCATGGCAACACTAAAAAGATGACTCACACTGGACAATCACATTAAAAGCAGGGCAGGACTGTTGCTCTCACCATCAGCACACACAGTCATTTCAGCTTGCCTCTAGCATCGCAGATATAAATCCTAAGGGGAATATTTATATACACACCCCTGGCTGGCATCTAATGTGTGTGATATTTCAGGCTGTCCAAATCTTTGAGTGGATGGAGGGAAAATGGCACTTGTGACACAAGAGTAAAGTCTGATTCATGGTGATGACATTAACTGGTGACAAATGGCAAGGTAGAGAACAGATACTTGGCCCTTCTGCCTAAGCGGCGGATGACATATGATAGTAAAGAGGACTGTAATTCTTAATATGAAATTAATTATTAATTATTCTATTTACATTGGCATTCGGAAAAGTTGCATTTGTTTTTGTCCTGCAGCTCAACTTAAATCTTATTGTATTTTCTTGTAAATATAATTATAATCATCTCACTTGCCATCAGATGCTTCTGAAATAATTTCTTCACTAGCCCACACACTGTCGGAAGCTGCCAATTCCACCGTCTTGCCTTGTTATCACTTCAACAATCAGAGTCACATTGTTACTGGCAACGCTCCTAATCACAAGGCCTGATCCTCATTAACAGAGCTCACATTTGGCAGTTATTTTCACACTGTTTGGTCTACTTTACCTATAGCGGTACTGTAGTGTCATTATTACATTGCACATCACAAGAAGAAATATGTTTGGAAAAAATAAAACATTTACAAATGTCACACCAACACTCGTTATGCAGCAGGGTGTTGAAAGCCGTGACTCGGGCAGTGGGTGTTTTCCAACCAAACGGGGAATTAATGAATGTGACGGATCCCACCCACAAAGGGACTGATGATCAGTAATTGAGGAAATCTGCTCTCCTGCTGAGTTTGCTCTGAACAATCTTTGCTTTGAAACTCAGACAGCATGCCTGATATTTAGTGGAGGTGGAGCAGAAGCCTTAAGAATAATGGGTTCATCTTTAAATCACTGTAAGAAAAGTCTAGTTTGTTCCATTTAGTCCCTGAAGGCCGGTCACTGCTGCTGTTACTGAACTAATACGTCTGGGTTTTAGTTTTAAAAAGGCAGGTCACTGGTGAGTCAAAGGGTGAGAAAGGTCCTCTGTGGTTTAATCACCGGAGTCATCCTGCTCACACGTTAGTTTCCAACCCCTGCAGGCGATCCATCCTCTGCATGTTGCGCTCAATGCTGGCCTGGCATGTGATTGGTTCGGCACACTCAGCGAGGAACCACCCCCTTTCTCCATCACGCAGTCGCTCACCCTCATACCAGCCTAAGAGAAGAAATTGCACTATTACATGAATATTAAAGCACTTGTTGCTTTTTCTTATGCTATTACCATGACACTGCTTTTGATGGTCAATGCTCTCTGTTCTTTACATGAAAATCAGTTGCTATGGTCACTAAAAGGGAAAGGTTCCCAAGGCCTCGGTATGTTTGTGTAGGTTTAAAAACACATCTTCAAACAGGTATAAAGTCCATTATGTAAGACAGATGAGATTTGAAAAACGGCAAAGAGAGCTTATACAAGTGCATGATGAAAAGGATGCAGTTGAAACAGGTTGAGAGAGAGAGAGCGAGAGAGAGAGAGAGAGAGAGAGAGAAAGAGAAAGAAAGAGAAAGAGAGAAAAAAAAACAAAAAAAAACACACACCATCTTCTACAGTCTGCGAGACCAGCACCACATCAGTCACCTGCAGGGACAACTCATCTGGCTGCTTGGCTGTGTATGTTCTGGTCACCTCCACCTGCATGACATCTAAAACAACACATGACAAGTCCATAAATCATTTCAGGTAAATTACACTGTCCCAAATTCAATATATCTTAACAAGTTAACAAGCCAATTGTTTTGGAATTAATCTTAGGAAAACTGTTAATTAAAATGACCACAAGATGGCGCAATAGGCTAAAAAGGAGAGTTCAGTGAGCCTTTTCAAAACTGTGAAGAAATGTTTTGTAGCAACTTACAGGTTTTGTCCTGACTCTTGTTGTTGTTGACGTTTTGGCCCAATGCGCTGATCCATCGGGCACGCTCATTCCTAAAAGCACAAATAACAGCACAGGAAGTTAGAAAAATGTGTTGGCGCTGAAAGAGTCCTGAACACTATGGAGAGAAGTCATTTGAAAACTCCTTGAACTAGACAGCACTGTGAGAGTCGCTCACTTCTAAATTGTGATTAGGAGTTTAATTATTTGGAATACATATTATAGATGTAGCTGTTTTAAGAAAACGATGCAGCTATAAACTAGGTAACATCAGATATAAGCAGCTTTGCGTGCACACACTTTGTCCCCTGTCATCGAGAGAACAGAGGTGAGTTTTCAGAAACAGAGAGCTGAAGCAAACGAGCACAAAGGTGAGTCCCAGGAGGGAACAGACCTGCCTTTGCTTTCTCTCTCTCTTGTTGCTTTCATGGGAAAAAAAATCTGTGGGTGGAGCCGCACAGGTCAGATTGCATTAAACTACATCTCTCATTTCACCTGTTCTCGTTGACTACTGAAGGGGGGCGAGGATTTAAAAGAGCCACAGATGGAGAGATGAAGGGGGGTTCAGGAAATTAACCGAGGGGGTTGTTGAGGCCCCTGTGACTCAGCACTCTTGGCTTGAATCGTGCAGATAGATACAACAATTCAGTGTGGCAGTGTGGTATTTGAAATAATAATAAACCTTGATTTGTGTGGAGGCTCTTCACGAGGGCCTCAAACCGGCAAGTCCCATGAGTCAGACCTCATTATTGTGTTCTCATCGTACACATGCTGTTTGTCCTTTTCAGGACAAAGAAGCTATACAACGCTGGGTGACGTCATACTTCCAGAACTAATTGGACTTTATAAAACCTAATAAACTATTTATAACAATAACTTTCAGAAAATCATCAACCAACAATCCCACAATGCAACATTACCACTGATAAAGTGTGACCTTTGTAGTCAAATGATACATTTGACAGTCCAAAACAAGGTCTATCACCTGTCGTTGGTACCTTCAATTTTAACCCTGTTTATTATTTCATATTAGCATTTGGTGTTTCAAACTTTCCTGCTCTAAAATCAACAGACTTAAGATTGAGCATGCATTTTATCAGTCAATTTCCTTTGAAAGTAATTTATTTGCAGTTGCATTTAATTAGAAAGCAATTGTTTATATCCAAATAAAATGATACCCCCAGAACTAGGAGGTTTAACGAAGCCAGGCAGAGACATCCGAACCCAGATCATCAGTAAGATGAAAAGGTACCGGCTAGATATTTTAGGAATTAGTGAATGTGGAGGATGGACCAGTTATGTATGTGAAACAAGGAAAGACGGATCAGTTTACCTCTACGAAGGGGATGAAGACAAGCTCGCAGTTTTAAAAAAACAACTTGGTATCATTCATGAAAAAACTTCCGCAAACTCACTTTGAGGATACCTGGATTGTCCTTACAACTAACCCAATTAAACAAATATTTCTGTCTCTCAGAGATGAAAACCACCTGGCAGAGAACTAAGACCGTGGAAATAATAATGGCTAGGCTATCCTCTGGCAAGGTACAACATGCTGCACCGAGTGGGACCAGAAGACAGCAGATATTAAGTACAAATGTGAACCTGCTGCTGGTGCTAGGAAAGGGGCTTTGATGAAGGGCCCGGTTACTTCTCTCCATTAAATGTGCAAGTTCTTCCAACATCTAAGCTGATCTGTGGGAACGGCATCTGTTAGTCTTTGCATTTGACAGCTGGACACATGCTGACAGATTCATGTGCACATACCCCACACACCATCATGACAGGTTGCTTTCTCAGGCTTAAACAGCTGACATACTTTACAGAAACTATGCACATGTGCACAACCTATTCAATACATAGAGCACAAGCGCAAACAGGCAACCACAAAATGTTTGAGAGGCATTTAATGGTTATCTGTGGAATGTGAGGCACATACCAAAAGAGATTCAGGTAAAAAATACCAGGCTTCCAACTGTGAAGAGTGTGAATGTGTTTACATGCAGGCATGTGAACACTAGCAGGTGCGTAGCCCCTTCTCCTCAAGACCACTACAAGCCTGTGCAGGACCTTTGTATTCAACTAGTAGAGGTAGTAAAGCTCCCTCTGCCTATTACCATTCTTCCCAATGTTTAAGAGGATGCAAAGAATCATAAATCTATTGTCAGCAGTTCTTGTTTTACCCCTTCAAAAGAGCAGAGGCCTGGCTGCTACCCTGTAAAACCTTTCTCAAAAGCAGATAAAGAACGACGACAGCCTCTTCCCAACCTTCCCTTCTTTGCCAACTTAAAATCACCACCAGAACACTGTTTGTCATCTTTCCCAGTCCCCCTAACCTCTTCTGCTCACTCCTATCAATGTGTTTACGCTCCACCAAATCCCTTCCTGGACGTTTTTTTCCTACTCATCTGATAAAAACATGATATTCTCTGATCGGAGCTGACCAGCTAAGGAAACTCTCAGGCAGAGGAAATGAAAGAGAAAATTCCCATCAGCATGTTTCTAGTAATAATTTAGGCGAAGGCAGACATAGAAAGATATGCCTGATCAAAAACAACAACACAACTGAAGGCAGACTAAGTTAACAACGCTAAAGTGTGCAACAGAAGTACATACTCCCCCCTCCGGTTGGGGCTGTTACGTAACTGGAGCTGTTTCGTGTTATAGCTGCATATCTTACTAACAGAACTGTTTTGCTGCAGACTTCTGTAGCTGCTCTGTTTCACTTCTAGAGAAGCACTATTCACTGACTCTGGACAGGACACAACATCGGGGTCATGGGGAAGACAAGCTGACATGCACACACCAAACAAAAGGATACAGAGAAAAGGAAGAGGACACAGACGGAGAAGAGGAACACTAAGGCCACACAGACGTCCTTGTGCCATGTTGGATCCAGCTGTCTTGTCTGAATTCCTGGTGCATTATGTCACTGCTGTAGTCAAACATCAGTCTACTGTATGCTTCTTGGACCTCACACAGAGATTCACAGACATGTATGGTAAAAGCTGAAGGGTCAGCAGGTCGAGTACAAATTAAAGCAGAAAAACCCACATTAACCAACACTAGAAGAAGTCCATTTCTGCAGATTCATTTCCACAAAACAACACAGACCCGCCTTCAGTTAAAATGTGTGGAATTTCACATTGTAACCCGACATGAGCTTCACTAAAATTCAGTGGTGAAGGGAGCAATATAGGGGATTGTAGGCAATACATCGTTTTCTTTGGTGTATACTGCATTTCTAGGCAAAAACAATGCATATACATGCTCCCACACTCAATAACGTGTGCACAAAGTAAGCATTTTGATCTATTTCCCACTTAAAATGCGTCTACAATAATCAGCTGGCTGTCCTGTGCAATCACTTTATGACGTTTTTAATATTGCAATATGACTATGTGTGGGTTGTGGACTGTTGAAAAACGTAAACAATTTAATTAAATGTGACACCCACAGCTCCGAAAAAACATTTTATATAATTTCCTGGCATTTTACTGACTATCTAACAACTTTTTCTCTTATTAAATTAATTAATAGATACATATATAATTTGAAGATATCATCCTGGGCTATTTCAAACGTGGCTATTTTAAACTAAATTCAAAACTTTAAACCATTTTTTTAACATTTAACAGACTGAACGAGTAATCAAAAAAATATGTATTTTAGGGAAATAATCATCAGCCTTGCCTTCTTTTCAGTCTTATAGCTTCAATAGGTCTCCTTATGCCCTCTCTACTTCATTTAACCCTGATAAAAGACCGAAATAGGCTGGCTAATGAGACCACACTTCCATGTGTCATGTTGGGTTAGATCACTAAATTGGGATGAATGGCCGGAGGAAGAGGAAGTTATTCTCTGGTCCTCAAAAACAAAGAGTCGGCACTGGCTGCTGTCTAAAAGATGAGACACGGGACTTTGAAGAAGAAGGGGAGAGTGAGGAATCAGAGAGGGGGGAGAGATAGTCGTGGGAAACAGCCCACTTAACACTGGGCTGCTGCTAGGCAACAGCTTAAACAATGCCTAGCAACCACTGTAACAATGGATTGTTTTCAGGGTCTGCTGCTCAGCTCATTCAGTACTACGGTGAGTGAGTGCTGCAGCCCACACACACACACACACATACAATTACATCTTAGCCGAGGGCCCCAAACCCAAGCTATCAAAGGAGGGGCTTTCCACAACGGCACGCTATAGAGAGGAGGGGGCAGACGAGAAGACCCCCTCGTGTACACATGGGAAGTACATAAGGCTCAGTGGGCAGCACATTTAAGTCATGTCACTCCCTCCTACACAGAGCCATAGCAGTCACACTTCACACTATTACTGCAGTCGCTTTGTCGGGTTTCACTTAGTGGCAGCACAGGTGCTAATACCACTGGTCCACACAGCTGTCCAATAAGAAAACTGGTTTTATGACTACAAAGTTACAATTATTATATAAGTTAACATCTATAAGAGTTTCAATATTACCACAGCTTTAAAAAAGAAAAAGCAGGAAAGGCAAAGACAAGTCAGATAACAGATATTTATGCTGCAGAAGTAATTACAAATTATATATTTCCTAACCAGTTGTTTGTGTTCATCCAGTGACTAGTTACTGTACATATTCAATGAGCAATGTTGTGTTTCGAACAATTGGCTGAAGAAATATAAACAAAGCAGGGATTCAAACTAATTAAGAGCCATTTAAAAAGGCAGCGTTTTGTACAGTGGAGCTTAGAAACACACCTTGTGTAATGAGAATACAGAAGGGGGTTCGGTATCTACACAGGAATGAGGAGGAACTGGCCATGTGCCAATAAAAACACTCTTAAACAGTCTTTAACCTCAGAAAATAATTACAGTAAAAACTGATTGTGTGTATGCCTATGCATTTGTGTATCTACATGGACATCGCCAACTAGAGCAAATAAACCCTGTATGAAGCCCAATATATGACCGATCCCCTTTGTTTGTGCGGGTTATATAATCTATCCAAACAACCTCGCGTTTCACTCTATTTGCTGTACCAAGAGTACCAACTTTACCAACTCACTACAGGCATGAATATCCAGGAAGTTCAAACCAGCTGATTTTATTTCTAGGTCAGATGTGTGAGTAATCATTTACACTGCACATGCAACACATGTCATGTCAGCTACAATCAGGAGACTTTAGACGAGAGTTACTTTCCCAAGAGTATATGGCTGTGATGAAAGACTCAGTCAACAAAACAATTATGTAGTACAGATGATATGTGTAACAGGATGAGTGTAGACAGTATGACTGTAAAAGCGACCAACAAACTTCCATTTCCTAAGTCACATAAACACCAAGCAGAAAGGCTCAGGCTGTCTCTTGAGAATGGAAGTAACAGAATATCCCTGTGACCTGCAATGGTCCAAAAGAGACTAAGAAAGAAGAGCTTAGTGGAGAGGGGTAATGGGATTTTCTTTGGAAGTAGTGTTTTATGGACAAAGAAGGATCTGAGATATAAAAAAAGCTAATCTCTGGATACCAAAATATCAAACCGTATACGTACTTTGACCTGCTGGTATACGAGTGTATAATGATGCAGGGGCAATATATTGTCAGAGAAAAAATGATTCATCTCAGCTTAATGGCACTCGTAAAAGTGTACTGTAACTGAAATGCTAGAGAAACAAAAACAGCACGGTTAAGAGCGACAAAGGTTATAAAAAAATAAATTACTCACAGCAAATCCGTCCCAAGGATCATGGGCACTTTTTCACTGGAATGGTTGCTACGGAAACGCAGACGGAAAAGGTGGTTGGCGCCAGCTTGCCGTGAGCTCAGCATGCTGGCGGTGCTTCTGACCGGTGACAGGTTGAGATCCTCCGGCTGGCAGGATCCCACCCAGATCTGGTCCCTCAGAGCGTAGTCGATCACAGTGTAGCTCTCCTCGCTGAAAGAGACAGAATTTGTTTTTATCTTACGGTTATTTATCTCGGCTTGTTAATTAAGATTCATTGGAGTGTGACAGAAAGGCCTTAATGTAGCCTATTAGGCCCAACCATCAAGACAAAGCTAGTAAAACATAAAACCACAGTTCTACTACTCGAATATGCAAACACAGACAAACAGAGCTTTACATCAACATCAGTGTAGTGACTGACATACACAAACACGTTCTCACACACATATTGTTGCTTCAGTGGAAAACTAACACCGAATTTGACGGTCAAATGCATTTCAAAAACATGTTTCCTGGAACGTATCCCATATTCAATGCAGTTAGATAACGATGCAAAAAAAGTAGTCATTATAGACCAGTAATCTTATCATTTCAAGATAATTCAGTAAGTTTATGTTGAGTTAGATATAAATATCACAAGGGTTATAAAAAGTGATTGAATGCTAGGCTTTTACCAAGTTGGTATTGAAAAAATAAATGTGGATTCAGCTGATTTTCTCTCCTTTTGCAAACTTTTCTTACAAAACATCGGTCATTTAACCGAAGGTCGATTCTCATTTTGAAATTCTGGTATAAATTGTATGTGCTCAGTTCCCAAATTGATCTATGCTTGGTGTAAAAAGCCCCAATTCAAAATAACCTAAATATGTCCTTCAACCCCCCTCCTCCAACATGATACACCAGCCACTAACAATGCCTTCATTAAAATCTTGATGTTACTTTGTTTTTATAGTATTTTATTACAGCAACAATGTTTTTTTTAAAGATGTAAGTGAGAGTAAATATCCATCATTGCAGCTTTATTTTTGTTCTTATTGATCTAATTATTACAATACACATCATTATACTTAAAGAAATGTATAAACCACGGCAGTTTATTGTGTTGCACAAAACCGAGTACAGAATACAATTTTAAATACATTATATTTATTGATTATCATGTACCCACTACTACACCATCCAACAACTCCTGCTTCACATTACATATAAGCTCATTGTTTTAGTAAAGATTCAGTTTCCTAGTAACTCAGTTGTCAGATGTAGTTAATAAAAATACACTGGCACATTAAAAGTCCAAATATTCAGCTTTCCTTACACTAAATTAGCTGCCCTCTGGTTTACTGCATGCCTATAACTCCCATGAGTACCTCTACCTGAGCATGACCTTGTGTCAAAAAGTATACGGAGTAAATTCAGAACATCTGGAGCTGATTTTGTAACATGGTACCTCTTGGAGAAGAAAGTGTGTGTTGATGTGTCGTGTGTGTGTTAATGTGTGTGTGCAGGTGTGTCTATCAAACACATGTTTCATCAACCTGAGACTGAAATAGCAGCCAGCCTGAGAAGCTACTGGACAGGAAGTAGCTTCTTGTAAGCCAGCATGTCCATTACTGGGCTGAACACACAAACACAAGCAGGACCAACGCTAGTGGTTAAACAAGAAATAGTGAGCAGTGTATCTGTCCATGTCTCACTCTTTCACTGACACACACACTCACACACACACTGGACTCTGGGGCCCTGACTGTCTGAGGGATCCACTCACGGTTGGGAGGTTCTCAACAAGGTTCAACTGTTACCCATCAGCCCCTATTGTCCACCAATGAATCAAGTTGAAGACTGTTGCCCACAACCGATTAGACTTCTTGGAAGAAGGGAAAGAGGGAGAGATGGATAAGATAAAAGCAGGCTGGGAAAGAAAGTAAGAACAGACAACTGTAACCACAAGCTGTTTCTGCACCGGCCCAAGGCTGAACCAAAGAGGTTGATGATTTAGAAAATGTACATAGTTGCTTTCTTGCAAAGAGTTTAATGAACAAGATTTAAGCACGCTTACATGTGTCTGCTAAATAGGATTGTTGTTCTTATCTCCCTAGCTTATACTCCTATTCTTAATATAGCTATATAAATATCGATTTTTAAAAAACATTTTTAATTTATAACAAAATCTTGCAAGGGAGTGACAATCTCTAAATCAGCTTTCTGCACCGCTGGACCTTACATTATAAACATTTTTGTTTGACTACAAATATATTTCACTGTGCATTTTGAAATATAAAACGTTTAATTTTGTCATTCATTCTTAAACCATCAATATAAAATGTGCCCTTATTTTATAAAGTAAATGGGTTGACGTGAAAAGTTGTTTTGCAATGGATTTTTGTCATTTTTGTGATGGGTTATACCTCTTGAAAGCCATTTAAACTGTGCAACACAATAAGTCTATTTGGTGTTATCAATCAGTCAGACCCTCAACTACACTGAAATCCTAATAATCCCAAAGGAGTTCCTCAATAAAAACATTGAATAATCCCAAATATTATTTTATTTAACATTAAAAAAGTTTTGCTCTGTGGATTTAAGGGGTCGTCAGCATTTTGGCCCCCGACAGCCCTATAGGTGAAATGCCTGAAATTCCTTTTGCATGACGCTGGGGGATGGGATAGGATGGGTGGGAAATCTTCATGTGTGTGAGGTGAGTTCTCATGTGTGTGGGTTAGTGGCTATACAGTGTTAGATTAATGATACATACTGTAGGAATGACTAAGGGAAATAATTTAGTATACTATTTTAAAATAGGGAGACAGGTGTTAACAATTGAAATAATGGGAGAAAGAATATATCTACTGTTTGGCCAGCTTATAAACTACTTGCACAGAAACAAACTTGCTGGAATGAAAGCTACTCTGCTGTTAGAGATAAGACAGGCATCTACCACACGTCATCACAACTGTGCGAGCTTTCATTTGACTAGTTGATAACCAGTTGTTCCACACTCAAGAAAAGTTAACACAAATCCTCAGAGAGATGTTAAGATAGGAGGATCCCAAGTCCAGCATGCAGGCAGACATGCGCCCGAACACATTGAAAGAGCATAGTGTTCTGGTGCAAAGAACAGTATAGGTGTGTTGAGACTATGGTTTAGTGAAACAAACAGGGAGGCAAAAAGAAAAGCTAGAACAGAAAGTGTTGGGATTATAGGCTTGCACACACACTCACACACAAAGACAGGACAGACAAAAGAATCCACAAGGTCATGACAACCAAAAATAAAGGGAAAGGACAGAGATATAGAATAGAGGGATGAATACCTTAACATCAACAATACTGAATGTTTAGATGATTACACAGGAAAAAGGGGGATGTGAACGTGAGAAAAAGGGCCAGCTGGTGTTATGTAAGTGTTATGTAAGTGTCCCTGTGAACCAGAGAGCAGCAGATAAAAAAATTCCCCAGCTTTCCCTCACTGTTTCACAGTGTTGTAGGTAAAGTTTTGTGTTAACTCATCAAAATTCCAAAACCTGTATATTATTTTTGGATTTGGCGAGATATAACACGAGAGAATAGCAACATATCGCCACATTAGATAACTGTAACTACAGCATGTTTGATATATGTGGCCAAAAACAAACTATCTATTATCAAAAGTTAATCGAGGTCGAACAACTGAGTGTTTCAGCTCAGACCTTATGATTACTCAAAAGGTTACAGATTAAACCGAGTAAGAAATCTGAAATAATTTAGACACGAAAAGTAATTCGTTTTTTGTCAAATCCTAGTGAACCCCAACCAAAGCAAGCATACTCACCAAGCATAAATCGTTCTGCTCCCTTTCAAGCTAACATTTAGATCTATAGTCCGGTAATACTGTAAAACATTCTCAGGTCATCGGTATGTTTTCTCTCCACTGTGTATGTGCTGTGGATTTGACCTTTCCCCCCTTTCCATCTGGTGGTTTTCATTGAACTGTAAACTCATGAAAAATGAGACAAGAAGAGGCTGAGAGGATTCAAGCACATTACAGTATTGCACTTAAAAAAAAGTTCATTTAGCTGCTCATCAGAAATCACACACACACACACACACACACACACACACACACACACACACACACACACAACACACACACCACACAACACACACACACACACAACACACACACACACACAACACACACACACACACACACACACACACACACACACACACACACACACACACACACACACAACACACACACACACACACACACACACACACACACACACACACACACACCACACACACACACACACACACACACACACACACACACACACACACACACACACACACACACACACACACACACACACACACACACACACACACACACACACACACACACACACACACACACACACACACACACAATGACAGGGGAAATAGCTATTACACCATTATGTTCTGGAGGTTCTGTGACCTGGCTGTGCCTGGCGAGCCTCGGGTTCCCCTGAGGTGTTTTTGTTTTGATTCCTGCAGATGGAGAGCAGTAGAGTAGCGTGCCACAGCAGGGCTCCTGCGCTGCTCACCCGCAGTACAAACCAATATTGTAACAGCGTCTCCCATTCAAACACACCCACACTTTTGTCTCTGGAGCACTCCCTTTTCCCCCAATCCCTTTTTCAAACACAGGCCTAACACCACACACTGCTGGAAGCTGCCGTCCATTCTCATATTCCCAGAAAAATATCACATGAAATGTTTCTTCTCCTTTTTTTTTTTAACAATTCTTAGGAATTCTGAGTTTTTGCGAGTGGCGGGACAATCAGTTCCAGACACAGAGCGAGCAGAACGAGAAGAGATTTATTTTGGCGAAAATAGACACATGTGCACGCACACCCACACTGCACGCAAGCAAATGAAAACCACATCATTTCATGGAAGTCCTCTTGATGGTTTGTTTCATGTTATTGCCCTAAACTAGGGGAACCAGAGGAGGGGAAAGCAGACTCACTGACAATGTGCAGGTCTACTATCTCCAGATTAGTCATAGTTCCAGGATATTTTGAAAGCTAAACAACATTCAGTTCAGGTTCATGAAGCCAAGTTACAACAGGTTCAGGTAAGTGCACCGGTTCAGCTTTATAGACAATCCCATGAAGATATTCATAAAATATCAGTCTGATTGTACAGTGTATCAACAGGTTCTTCCTCAACCCTGCTGATTTGTCCTTGTAATTTTAATTGTTTTGCTTTCATTTCAGCAGGGTACTGAGTTATTGTTCCTTGTTGTCTTGCTTCCCACAAGTGAAAACACAAAGAGAGGACAATATTAGACAAACTGCTGTCAGGGTCATGACCATAAGCGGTTCATACACTCCCAAAGTGAAAACCAAGGGCTTATGGTTACACTTTCACCCTTAACATGTCAGAACAGGTGAGTCATGAGCAAAGCCAGCACACCGAGGCCACACGCACACCAGCCAAATCAAACACAGATCCAGACTAACCTCTTTTTCCTAGTGACGATCAGGACGTCATTGAAGAGGAAGAAATAGACCTGTTGCCGTGACGTTCGCTTCAGGAAGATACCATTATCCTCTACAAATGCAGTCAGCTCTCCTCTCTTTACCATCCACCTGGAGGATGAGACCAGGGGAAAAGGCTGGAGAAAAAGAAGAAAGAGAATGTGATGAAGAGGAAATGCACTTAAATCTAACCAAATAAAAACAATGTAAGTGTTGGTGATGTCAGGAATTCCCTAAATCACAATTGTGTGTACACAGCTGGCTATGCAGACTTAGAATGTGAATCCCAAATGTGCCAACAGCTTTTCCCCACACTACTTAGACACACTAGAGCCTGACAAGCCTTGTGCGCATTACATTTAAGGAAACTCGCCAAGTGTCGCTGCATGTCAGTGTATGACTGCAGCATGGCTGTACCCGAATAGCCGAATATTCGTTCGTTGGAGTACTATTCGGGTTTGAATGTATTGAAATCTCCAATATCAACGTAAGAGCTTGTGCCTCTTCGGGGGGTGCCATCACTTAACCATAAACTTTATCGTTTACTTTCTCCGTCTTTATATCATGTAGATTTGACTTTTCTCCGTTAATCTCCGGCACGTTGTTTCCATAGCAACAACAACTTCCTGTCAACAGCGCTAACTCTCCTTCAAAATAAAACCATGTCCAAAAAAAATAGGAAGCCAAGCCAAATTAAACATAAAGGGGATCATGCAATATGCACTTTTGTACGTCTTTTATACATGAATATGTGTCCCCGGTGTGTCAGGGAACTCACCAAGTGTCCGAAAACACAACCCTCTCTCTTTTCCTCCATACCCAAATCTCTAAAAACGGGCTGCAACGGAGCTGATTATTATTTGAATTGTTCTGACGTCCGAAAAGGGGTGCTCCGCCTATATGGGCAACTCTCCACCTATCAGGGGAATGAGAGACCGCTCGAAAGCGCTGGAGACGCTGTAGTACATATGTCAGGCGTGTATGTGGCGCTGTAGTCTGCCACAAAAGCAGATTCAGCCCTTACAAAAACAGGGCTGGAAAAGAGCAAATTGAGCAAAATGAGGCATGGCTAAAATGCATGATCTGTTTGGTATTTTGAAAAAAAAACTTCACAGACATGTTTTATATAGGTATGGCCCTACAATATATGTTTCAAATATAGCATGATGGGTCCACTTTAAGACATATACAACTGCAACGAAAGTAACAAACACAATGCAATATCCTTTTCAATTTCAAAGAACACAAATTGGGTTATATACATTAACAAATAACTATAAAACAACAATAGGCCTACTGTAGAATAACTAAATGAATGCCGTGAATAAAACCGAAATAGACGTGTTGAAGCGGTTCGCTGCTGATTACTACGCACCCCCCTAAAAAAAACTAGCATGGCTCCGTCCAAAAGTCACAAAATGAATGACTTGGACCAAGTGACGATAGATAAAAAAGATACATATCCACATTAAAGTAAAATATGTTTCCCTTCGGATCACAGAATGCGATTGGATGCCCTGTGGTGTTTTCTTGTAAATAAGAGAAACACCAACATCTGGTTCATGAGATCTCGATCATTGTGGCCAGAGGCATAAACTTGTCAAACTATAACTGATAATGTCATCTCTTAACCAGAATTAAGTTGTTTTAAGAAAAAACTACTCGAGGTGCGAGTGTGTAACAATTGTGTCCATACCTTGATCTTGAACTCCAGCTGAGAGTTGATGGTGTACATCATCTCTGTCCTCTCCATAGTGCGCGCTCCTTCGTTACACTTTCTTACCACCTGCTCACAAACAGAGTCTATTAATTACAACATTTTTTTTTCATTTTGTATATCCATTTGCTGCATGCTATTATGGTAGTTAAAGCATTTGTTTATTGGTGAGCTGATATTTATCAAGTTGAAGAAGTGCTGGAAATCAGCATAACATGTTGCGTTTTTGCAGAAATGTCCTCACCAAAATACAACATAAAATATTGATTGCCTGCCAGCCTAATCCTAGTTGTCTATGTCCAAGGCAAGCATTTTAAACCATAGCTATTAATGCATTAAATGGAGATACATCACATTTATTTGAAAATAAAAACATAAAATACATCATGAGTTTGTATATCATTTATAATCCTTAAACCAACGCACCTTGCTGACAGCTTGTAAAGCTTTCTTACAGTCTTCATATTGGGCCGAGTCTTTAGGTGTCTTCTGACAGATTGTCTGCAACAAAGGGATTCAACAAATCAGTAACACTACTTTATAAAATAAAAAACATATTAATGCACAAACAATTCATTGCACCCATGAGCATCACCATTTATCAAAGCACGATCAAATATGGATGCATCAAGAAAGCTGTGGGAAGCAATGAATTCAAACCAAACGTTCTCAGGATCCAAAAGCCTCTGAGTGCAAAGCAAGCATAAACCTCAGAGTCCCTAGGGAGACACTGACGGAGGAGGAAGAAGAAATTGGAAGGAGCAAGGGAGAGGAAGGGGGGAAGGCACAGTAGGGACAAAATAAAGGAAGCATGAAACTGAAAACAAACAAAAGAAAAACCTTTAAAAGGGAAAAGGGAGGAGCCAGACAATCACTAACGATTATCAAGGAGTGGAGTGATGTAAGGTCACACAAACATCTTAGAGGTTGGCTCACATACCATGTAGAATTAGTAAGGAGAGTAAGAATAAACAAACGGTTGCACAAGAGTCAAAGTCTTGTTATTCCAAAGCTCATGCTACTTTATTTTTTCCAGCACTCACATCCATGAGTAGGGGCAGACGTGTTATCCTCTGCATAGGCAGGATAAGGAAGGAGATCATGGGGAGGTTCCTGCAGTCTGGGTGGCTCTCTATCCTGGTGAGCACCTCCTTAAAAACGGGATTCTTGGACCTGCAACATGGGGCAAATGGAGGTTAGGTGTTTATAAAAAGATTCAAAGAGGAAAACATGAACAGGGATTAATAGCAAACTTCCTGGTTCAAAGTGTCTGAGCAGTAATCTTGGATCAAGTCCATGAGAGATATGATAAGAACATCTGTGTGTGTGTCTGCTCGGTCACTCACACCAGCCTCTGCAGGGTTCGCTGCTGGTAGACTTCATTGGAGCAGTATGTCACAAAAGGATCAAAGTTGGATTGTGAGTGCTTGTCAACAATGTCGCTGATGTCATTGATCACAATGTTCTGTTGGTGTCTTTCCTCCAATTCCTTAAAAAACCTGAGTACAGGATAAATTAGTGTTAGTATTTCAGGGATTAATACGGTACATGGCAGCAGCTGGAGTCAGAAGCATCGGATCATGAGTCATCCCACGCTTGGGAAAATATAGGATGCAATGACAGATACAAAGTCATGAAGGCAGGATGCACCACCAACACCTTTTTTTCAAACCCACTGTAAGATCACAAAAGAGGAACTCCCCGCCTCTTAAAATAGACATAGCCTACCATTAACCATAACACAGAGGCTTTTCCTCTTCCTGAGCTCCACCAGATGGCTAGTTTAACAGCATGCCACATGGCCAACTTCAAGACAATAAGTGTTTTTACATGCAGCATCCAAGGTGACAAACAGGAAGCTGTCGCACAGACACAGGACACACCTTGACCAGTTGGACTGAGTTTGAGTGCATCTGTTGAAGAACCTTGAGCGTCCTCATCCCTCATTTAATAACACACCATGACTATATATGGGAAACATTGCTTCTTGTGTGGCCTTGGCCTGACCCTACACCTTTTGAACTATCCTCTTACTAATGAGGGCATGAGCACACAGGATGACAGCAAACACACATGTTGCCCTGACGCCATGGCCCTCATCTTAAAAAGGTGTATTCGGGGCTTTAACAGGTCAAGGCTGCACACGTTCAGGCCACGCTCACTCCGGGGTTAAAACTCACTGACCCCAATAACAGCATGCTGTCATGAGCCAAGAGGTCAAGGGAGGTGAGTTCAATCAGGGTGAGGAGAAAGAAAAGTGGAAATGCCCAAAATCAAGCTACTGGCTAAGAATGACTAGTTCAACCAGCAGATACTGAGAAATACAAAGGTATTAGCCTCCCTGTCAGCACTGATGCAGTGATAACGTTTGTGATGGTAATGTTTAATGTAGTGCGTATCCTAAGGCTGCGAGGGAAATACAGTAACCAACCACCTGCATTTGAAATACTCAGCAGCCTTCCCACTTACTGTAAAACACAGACTACAGGAGCCGGCAGAGTGATATTTCTATTTTTATCTATGAGAGGGTATAGTGAAAGCCTGGCGATCTGTTCTAAGTTACACATCTTGTTTGACCAGTGAAACAGGCCATTTTATAACTTAAGAGGTGCAGTCTCATCGTCTCCCATGCCCCCCACAAAGGGGAGTGAGATGGGCTGCAGCATGTCTCAACACAGGAAGGAATTGTTGAGGAATTTACAGATACCCCCACTCATATTAAGTGGGAATGAGGCGTAAATAAATGTAAAAACAATGTCCATGTCAATCCATGTGCCTAATAAGCTGCAGAGAGTGAGGAGTATTATTTTGTAGCTGTTTTTCCTTCATGATAACAGAGATAAGTCAGATGAACATGTATCTAATGAGGAAATCTTTCTCCCTGGGGGGGCTGATATCCTGACAAGGAATCCCAGAGCAAATGTCAGGAACAGTTGCAGCAGGGAGGCAGTGAACGCACCGGATTTACAACCTAAGCAGAAGAAAGATTAAGGCTAGCTTAACCTCATTTCACACTCAGATATATTACCCAAATTATTAACATAGGGTTTTTGAGAATATCTCAATGTGGTGACATCCTGTTGGTGGAGTGGGTTCAGTAAATGTTTGATTAAGAGAAGGAAAGTGTAAAAACACTGTAAACCTTAGACTGGTTTTAAAGTATTTAGTCCCTATAGCAGACTACCATAATGCTACATCATACAGTAGTAGTTTCACTTGAAGTCATTGTCATACTGAATAGTAATCTCATAAAAAACACGATAAATCATACAATAGTTAAAAGCATTTACACATATGAACCTAACGAAAAACATATGGGCTGAGAAATTCATCTGTCAATCATTTGTAGAAATAATGGAGCCCTGTGCAACACAGTAATTTCTGAGGCAGCACAGTTTTCATCAGTCTCTACTTCTCTTCCCTCTCATGCAAGTGTTTTAGTTTATGGGATCCATGGAAGTTCATGGTTACCTGACCATGAATGTCATTAAACAGTCCACACGCATGCACTGTAAATCATGATGGACGGGTAAACTCAGATGGCTCGTAGCAGCCAATATTTGCCATTGCGTTAGCCTATATACCTATAAAAACAGGTAAAGAACTCATGCATCATCCATTTTACTTTTGAAATCTCTCAAGCAGCAAGACATTTTCTTTAAATGAAATAATAAAACAACTATAGCAAATCCATATTGTTCTTTTACCTTGTTTGCTCCATAGCAGGTGACCAAACACAGAAAACCGTTCAGTGCTGCCTACCCGCATTCCCTTAAACCAAACTGAAAACAACTCTGGATGCAGCAAGAGAGTGTAAGGGTAAGGCTGACCAAATGGTATGGACATAAATTAAATAATGCTTACAGACACACCTCACATGCAATGAATGCGGACTACCAACTTGAGCTGTTAAATAAAAAAACGATCTAGCTCATTAGCCAAGAACCACAAACCACAAACATTAATAGACTTTTAGATAACACGCGAGCGCAACCTAAAAATACCCACCAGCATTTCAAAAACATTAATTATCGTCTAGTCTTCTACACTGAAAAAAGTTATTTAAATATACAATGAAAGTACCAATCATGAAAAATAACACCAATAATACACTGATAATAATTTTGCCTAAACTTTACCACACAACCATGCACTCACTTTTTGCTGGCCTCACAGACGTCGGTGATGTTGGAGAAGAGGTGGTGGTGTTCGGTCTTGGTCATGGCCTCTCTGAGCTCTGCGGAGTTCTTGAACATGCGGATCAGGATCTCCAAACTGTGGAGGTAAGAGTGCTCCGAGGAGATCAACTCAAAGATGGCCTTAGGAAGGGTAAGTGAGGGAGGGCAAAATTGGGGATTACTTGTGTTTTTTCACAATAGTCATTTTATTACATCCATTTGTGACTTTGCATGCTTTAAATAAAACACTAAGTCCTGACTCACTCACTCACTCACACACTGCTCTATGAATTGGGCTTTGTCATCAACATTCTTAACATACCTCTGCTCTAAAATCATTTTTGGAATGCTTTTGAAAAATTCCAAGACGACTTAAGAATTTGCAACTATCTGTAAAACCATCTAATGGTCTATACTCTGTTAAATGTTTTGTTAAATCATATTAAGAAATGTAAATATGTATTGGAACATCTGTCCTTTCTCGCCCCGTTACAAAGACTTTGCTTTAAAGATATAATGGTCCATTATGCATGTGTCCTGCTGTGCTCAGTCAATGGCATTTTATTGGTCTGGAGTTTACAGAGACCAAATGGACAGCCTTTCTCCCCCAAGTGCTTGGCCGTTTTGTACTTTGCATGTGTGGCGAGAATAGGATTTTTCTCACTCTGAACCAATGTGAAAAGTGTCAAATATGATGCCTACTTCTTGTCTTTTGCGTTCCTCTTGACTCAACTTGTCAGAAAGACCACTTTTTTTGACCTGTACAAAAAAACAAAAAAAAACAGATTAAAAGTCATAGGAATGAGAAAAGCTTTTCAATACAAAGTCACACTTGTTTGAATACTCAGGGGATTTTGTTTCAGGTCAGGGGTCCTTTGCATTTATTACACGGGCGCGTGCATGTGTGTTTTTGTGTGCCAATCTTGTCCTCACACAAAGAAAGGAACCCTTTGCATACCACACTGAATAGAGAGCCAATGAAGTTGTTGTCGGAAATAGGGAGAGAAATATCTTCACTGAATAAAGAAGTACCAGGAGAGTGTATAAACAGGTATTGGTTTTATCCAAAAAGAAATGTAAACATTTGGCCAAAGCATATGGGTAAAGGGGATGCGTGTTGGTATGTGGCTGGCAGATTTGGTACAAGGATATCTGAATAAGAAAGCAATATTTTGGAATTAGCTGCGTGTGGAGTACCATTGAATTAAACACCCAGGGCCTTTTCAAACTGAAGGGAAGGTTGAAAAAAACAAAAAAGGCCTTTGTCTCCTGTTCAACCATAGACAATATGACGCGGTGTACATCCCATTTTTTTCTTTACCAGATTAAACATGCAGGCAAAGTCCATATTTCCTTATGTCCACTAGCTTTGCATCCTCTTTTGGTCTAAGGAAGTGATACTGCTCCTGGAGCAGCCTTCCTTCTCTCTAGTATCTGCCCTGCAGCCCTCGGCAAACAAGGAGAACAAACATATATTGTGCCAAACCTTTACCACGGTATCAGCTAAATCAGGCATCAATATAAAAGGCAGTGAGGTGAGGTTTTAATCAGCTAACAACCATGCGCACTGTTGTGCCAATTGAACTTAATCCCAGTTTGCAGTTTCATTGGATGTGACTGAAACACTACCAATTAGGTGTCATTATTCAATAGCTGAACGTTTTTCTGAAACTATGATTCTTTGTATGAAACAGAGCAAAACAAACTGATTTCAGGAAACTTAAGCAGCATGAGAGGAGGTAGCTCCAGGGGATCTCAACTGTCTAAAACCAGGTATCATGATTACTGGAAATGTGAAAATACATCAAACAGTAATGGTTCAAAGTGGCAGGGGAACAACAGAAGAAGGGAGAAGCTGAGAGAAACAACACACATGACTCACACAATGACAAGTTGTAAATCAGGTTATTGACTTTCCTGGAATTATTTCCTGCCATAACACAATGCAAGTGTAATGCCAGCATTTCCTACATCATGTGAAAGTTAAAGTAGAATGCCGCAGCGTTACATGATGTACTGTCTGGCCATCTAAAGGAAGAGATCCCAAGCAGTAAAGCAGCTGTGACGGACAAAGAGAGTCCTGGTCAGCATGTTAATGTCAGACACAGCCCGATGTCACCTCTTTGTCTTGCTGGTGTACACAAATATAGCAATGAGAAAAATGTCTGAATGTTCTCTTCTTTGGATCCAATGTTCCAATGATTTGTGTGTGTGTGAGTGCAAATCAGAATCTGCTCAGCAATTCAATAACATGTCCTAATTGCCTCCATCAATGCCTTGGTCTGCTTTTGATCCTTCACTTTCCCTCCTCAACAAGTAAACTCAAAGATGGGAATGCATAAGTAGAAAACTGAATTAGCTCATTCCCCTCTGCTATTCCTTAATAATATTGCTATTTCCAATCCCAAACTATATTATGTAATGCAGAGTCACCGCACGTTTCTGTAGAGGCAACATATTAAACATATTTTCAGTGTGACGACTTTGTAGAGTTTGTCAGCACACTGGCATAAGGCCCAGCAGTGCTTGCAATACTTCCTATGGGTCTGGCTGACTGTCTGCCTCCCTGCCCACCCGAGTCCTAGAAGAAATGCTCCTGCACTCCTTTATAAACAGAGTTAGGGGCAAAGAAGACAGAAACAGGGGGAGGATGGGTATGGACTGTGACCAACTGGATATGAGAGCATTCTTGAAGGCATTACCATTCCAAGACTCCACAGCCACAGCAGTGAGTGCATACTGTATGTTTGTGTGTGTCTGTTTGTGTGTGTTATACTGACCACACTCAGCTGGCTCCAGGAGGTGCGTATAGGTCTGTATTGCACCACAATGCCGTTATCTGGTTTTGGTTCTCTAGAATCTGCATCCTCATCTGAATCATTGTGTAAGGCCTTCTCCTTGTAGTTCTGGTACATCTCTTCCTCTGAAACAGATTTGTTGACAGAAACATAAAGTTGAAGTCTTTAAACAGTCAAATATTGTTGACAGAAAGTAAAAAATAGACACTACATGAGTTAAAGTTAGGAAAACATGGTGGAAACGAAACAGACAGGTGTTTCTCACCCTCACTGTCAAACGTCCGCTGATGGGTCAATACTTTCTTCCTATCTAGACTCTGAAATAAAGAAAAAACACAATTGTCATGACTTGGACAAATGCTGAGGGACCAAGCAAGCACACACAACATTTTGAATGAAAGAGGCTTCTGTATCTCTGTCACCTGTCCATGACCTGCCTTGCCCTTTCTGGTGACCTCCTTCATTGACCCCTGTCTAATTAGAGAGCCATTGTGTATAGGTTTGTATGTGTCACATTACGTCATTTCTCCCAACAACCGCATTAATTGTTTCCTTGTAAGGCGTTGTCTGACCCTCTGCTGCCTCTATTGCTAAGTTTGTCCACAATACTCAACCTGTGTTGTGATTTTACAACTTAGACTTTGACTTTAAACCCCAATACTGAATTGGATAATGACATTTCAACCAGTTACTGCAAATTCCACAGTTCTATATGTAAGCATCAATAGTTTAGCAAAGCTCAAATTGATTTATTTGATTGTTTATTGGTTGCACCCACTTTGTTTTTTCCAGTGTTTGTAGGCTTTTCTTTTCCAAGGCTAGCAGGTTTTAAAATCCTGGGGCTGGCAAGTTTGGGAGTCCCAGGACTCGTAGGCTTGGCAGTTCCAGGGCTAGTGAGGCTGACGGGTGAAGCTATCTTATCCTCATCCAGCCATTTGATGACAGGCTGGGAAAACTGATGGGCTTTTGGATCCATCGATGGGACCTCTGAGTCCTCTACACTCACACAAGCTTTCCTATAGGACGTACTCCTCAGGCCTCTATTTAGTGTCCCTGGATTCTCACTTTCTCCGTCAGCACCTTCACCGTGGCCCGTTGCAGTAGAAAAGAAGGATCCTGTTTCTACCATACTGAGAGCTTTCAATGATCGCTTGGTGTGATCCAACCCAGGCAGCACCACCAAACCTTGGACTTGAGGCTCAGAGGGAGGCAACTTGCTCCGAATACCGGATGCTAAACCCTTGGGAATTAGCTGCTGGGTGCCCATCTTCAGGGCAGCCGCACTGTGGGTGCTGAGGACGATGGAGGGAGAGATGGATGGGGAAAGTGAGGGAGAGGGTGAGGTGGAGGACATGGAAGAAGAGCAAGAGGCATGGGAGGAGGCAGGCGAGAATGAGGACTGTCTAGGGAGCGCTTGTCCTCTGTCTGCTGGCGATGCAGAGCGTGGGGTCGGTGGGTCTGAGGAGGTTAGAGAAGAAAGGGAGGGGATGCTGGAAGTGGAGCTGTAGGAAGGGGTGGGAGTGCGCCGGGCAGGAGGAGAGGGGCTGTTGTTGTTGTTAGGAGTGCGTGAAGACAGGACAGGAGAAGAGTTGATAGGAAGCTCTTCAGGTGAGGCTGGACTTGTCCCAAATGCTATCTGATCTTTCTGTGAGAACACACTGAACGGGCTGGACCTGCGTTTCTGGGTTTCCTGAAGTCCCTTTTCCTGCCATACTGTTACTCCATTACTGTTATTTTCCCCGCCACAGTCTACATTACGAACTCTATTGTCCAGTGAGGCGGATCTGCTTTCCTCAGATCTAAATCTTGACAGTGAAAATAGTCCGGTCGAGAAGTGCCCGATGCTAATGCTTCGGACAACTCTGGATTTTTTTAAGGGTTTGTGCAGAATGTGCTTCAACACAGCAGTGTTCTTGCCCCATGTCAGAGCTGTGAGTCTCTCCTCAGGTTGGCTCAAGGTAAGGGAACCATTGTCCTCCAAAGGGAAGTCTGTTGTCATAACCCCATTTATGTGGTAACTGAGCGGTCGCGGTTTGGGTCCTCTTAAGTCGTGCGTTTTTTTACAGTTGTCTGTGCGGCGTTTCCACAATGGGGTGATGTTTTTATTGGACAAATCCACATCATTGCCGATATCCATGGTGCTAGATTGGCTCTGTCCTCTTCACTATCTGTGTCCGAACCTACAGGTCACAGTGCAAACACTGCAGCACTGTAGAACACTGATCTCTCACCTAAGAGTAAACAAAAGAGAGGAGCTTTAGTGCAGTGTCCAAATTCCCAAAGTTAACTCATTAACTTTCAATACAGATACTGGCAAACTTGAAAAACACATAGATAATTAGTTGTTGAATTTCGAAAAACAGAAGCCAAGCCAGTGAAGACAGCTGGTAATCCTTTTGTATATGTTCACTGTGCTGAAATGACCTATATAAAAAAAAAGAAAGCTGACAAGATATTGTTAGCTGTGAGCAATCCCTGTAATATTCCAAAAAGGAAACACTGGTCTGCGGCAACATTGAGTTTAGAGACCAATTATAGTTTGTATCTACTTTACCATTCAAATCCAAACTTATTTGCTGTTCTTTTTATGTATACAACAAACAATACTACATAAACCAGCAGGCTCCATTTATTTACTACACAAGATACAGATACTGATTCAGCTGTGGAGGAAAAACTTTTTTTTAAAGTAGATTTATTGTGCGAAATGTTGTGTTCAACTTACTTTTAATCAGTCGATCTGCTGCACATTGCGGTCATTGTACCTGCGCTGCCGTAAAACAAACCTCATTTGGACGAATATCAAAGGTCAATGTGCTTTATCCTGCATGGTATCGAAACCGAAAAAAGTTGTGTAAACCAAAGTTGGAGCAGCAGAGTTCAGTGTTTGCTCGACTGGAAACTGGTGTTAGCGGCAGAGAGCGTCTGAAGCACGGCTGACTGAGCTGCAGGGTTTCTATGAGAGGAGGAGGAGGAGGAGGAGGAGGAGGGAGGGGATCTGAACACCAGAGAGAGGGAAACAGAAGAACTCCCAACTCTCCAAATGCGCAGGAACTCACCTTCTGGACGATATTGGTTTATTTGAGGCTGTGGTTATGGTTTAAATGATGAATGATCACCTCATTCAACACATTTAGTGTAGATAACAAACACAAAAATGATATTCATGTTGGTAGTTAATATTATCATTTAATGGAAAGGCCCCAAATAACATTTTATTAAATAATTACAAGTTTTGACACCCGCACAAATGGTGCATTTAACTGTCTTTTCGGATACAAAATTTAACAGTTGCTGTGGTGCGCCACCCTGTGTTTTATGGCGTAATTGCACATACCTTCAGTGATTAATAGTGATTGAATCAATCAGTAAATTCCTTTTATTTACTTCAAAGTTATAGTATAGTAGCAAATGTTTAAGTGCTGATAGTCCTCAGGAGTAAACACAGAAGTAGGATAATGATCCAATTAAAAACCCACAGCACTGTATTTTAAAAAAAATAGGTAATGTCTTTAAAATGACCCTAGACTGCCTGGTACTTTAAGTCTCCATACAAAGTCCATTTGGTGTGCTTGTAACATTTGCAGATGTTTCTCAAAAGTCAATTGCCTAAATGTTCTCAAAGATTTGCAACTGTTCCTTCCCACTCCAATAAAACTCCCTGTTGTGCAACATGAGGCTGTGGTTAATTCATGCATCACTGGTTGCAAAATAATGTGACAAAAGTATTTTCTTATTAAATCCCCACAGGACCTAAAATAACCATTTAATTACTCGATCATGTGACTATTAGAGATTAGACTCAGACGGAAACTCCAGAAAAGATGCCAATTTTGACACAAACCAAATAACAAGCTGGATTTTGCATGGATGGTGCTCCACCGCGTGGCTCTTGTGCGCCAGTATTTCTTCTATTTGACCGATAGAGGGAGCACTCGTCTCGTTTACTACGATTCATGTATACACAAAAATAAATAGATAATTATTTTAAATAGTGGGTTATATCTTTAATATAAGGGCAAATTGCTTAACACTGGTAACACGTTTTGCTCCCTTTAGTCCAATGGTAGAACTAAACATATTCTCTTATTTCCATAACAATCAGTGAATTATCCAACTTCATTTATACACTTAATTATGAAATGTGACTCAAAGTGATGTCCTGGTGCAAACACTACATTTGAGAACAGACCTGGAGCATTTTACAAACCCTAACCATGACAAAATAGGCCAATATAAAAGCATGATTAATAAATAACTGATTGTTTTTTGTGTTTTTGGTCCTCAGTGATTCTCCAAGACTTAGAAAAATGTTGAATAAATGCAAATATGTTAAGGCAAACATCAGGCAAGCTATGTTGAAGTGATAAGAGTTGTTGAGGCAAATTAAGTTCAGGAAGAATAAATTGTCACCTACAGTTAAACATGCTTGCAAAGGGCAAGAGAGAAATCACTTAAATCTTCAGATGTCAGCTTTGTCTTAAAACGATCCAATATGTAAAGAGGATATAACATTTCATTACACAAGGTGAAGAACAGTTTATTTATTGTATATCATGATGTATTTATTCTGTGAATTAAAAATGTTTTAATTTAAATTACTATAAATATGGCCCTTCTTTCTTGATGTCTATAAGGCGGCTGTGGCTCAGTGGATAGAGTGCTGGACTTTGAATCAGGGGATAGCAAGTTTGAGTCCCACTGCAGTCAGCATGTCGTTGTGTCCCTGGACGAGACACTTCACCCCAAATTGCTCCTGTGTGGATTGCCCAGGACTGAATGTATGGAAGTCGCTTTGGATAAAAGCGTCTAACAAATGACATGTAATGTATGGCTTGTGTATGGAACACTGCAAATAACCTCTCACATAGATCCACAACAATATTAATTTCATCACCAGAAACATTATTCTTGCTGTATTCATAATGAAGATTCACATTTATTATGATAGTTTAAATAATCAAATGACAACATTACTTTTATGCTTGCATTAGTCACCCCATGTGGTTTGACAAGCCTCATTATGTTCCAGAGGAAGTTCAGCAGCCTATCCTGTTGTATTGTTTAGAGAGCTATATGTTTCCTCATGTTATTTAGTTTAAAAATATATACGTTTCCTCTGCCATCAGACAAGACACTCACCTCCGACTGGAAGGCCCAAAAGCAATTCCCCTCAGCAGCGATCATCCTGACACTTTGTAAGAGGCAATAAAACAAACTTGACTTGAAGGACCATGAGTGAAAAGGCAAGACAGAAAGACTGAAGGGAGATGGTTGAAAATCTAAGATTAAATCATTATTATATTCTCAGATAAATATGACTGGCACTGACTCTTAAAGACTAAAATTACACCTCTAGCTTCTCCATACATTTAAATGTATTCGTCCATTATCACAGACTGATAAGGCCATAGCTTTGTATCCTGTGTTGGCTTTTGCTTGTCTGAATTAAGTCTGATTGAAAACAACATGGTGTCAAGTTGAAAAGACCTACGGCAGAAGTAGCAGGAAAACCTGACAGGAAAAGCTAAATAAATGGGATTTATAACAGAAAGTATCCTTAACGAAAGTCATTTATTTTACAGGGGAAATTATAGTTATTTTAAAAGTAAAGTGAAGGATGTGGAGGAGCAGCCTAACCAAACAAAATAACATTTCTGACAAATTGATTTTTCTAAAGAATAATGTCTTCTAGAAACAGATAACTAATCGAGGTGTTGTTGTTTATGGAACATGTGGTTAGAAGTATTGACATATGGGCTTTGAAATAATCACTTTTTTCAGAGTTGAGGATTAGATTTTTTGTTCAAGGAAACATTTGTTAAGGGAATGAGCTGCTCTGAAGTTAAACGCCAGTTATCTACGCAGATTAACCAGTTTTTCTGGTGGAATTATGTTTCTGCAAAAAAAGAGGTAAGAAAAAGCTACCATTGTGAGACATTTGCAGCCCTCCCACAAACTCAAACATTTTCTTTAGTCATACAAAGGTATATAAACTGCATACATAAACTGGTTTATTTGACCTACAAATGAGCCATCTCAGTTTTCTACTGCAGGTATAAAGGAGCTAAACTGCCCCTCTATTATTTAATATTGATTGAAAAATGCAGTCCAGTGTTTCCTTTTGGCATCCAGTTCCGCTCCTAAAAAGACTCACTAAGTTCTTTAAGTTTATACATTTTAATCGTCAGCAATGTAAACGCCGACTCAAAAGGATTTGTTTTAGCTAGATGTTGTTTATATTACAGAAATTAAAGAATATATTGTTTTACCAAGGGTGCGCTATCGACGCATTTGCATAAAATTGTGACCCCAATGGAAAGACATGCCTGCAGCATTATGCTACAATTATTCAGTTGTAAATCAAATTTTAGATAAACAAGATACTTAAGTTGATTTCTAGAAAAGTAAACTTGCTTCAAGATGTTTCTTTTACATAGTCCTCTAATATCATTTTAATATAATGTCAACAGTTGAATTTGTCTTGGTCGAACAGGGATGGTTTTGACGTGTTTTGGGCCCGAATTACAAAATGACAAACTAACATCTGGTGGTATCCATGGAGGTTTTTAATTGTTTATTTTACTTCTGCCACAAAACAAAGAAGATGAATCACATTAAATCTGCATCATCACATCATGAAAATAACTATCACATATGGCAAGATCAGCAACACTGTCCTTTTACATATTTATTGAGAATACTTTTAAAAAAAATTATGGAAACTGTTAATTGTAGTAAACATAAATGTCTCATATAATATTGACACTGTCTCTAAAGAGGCAGGCATTTCATTTTTAAATGCAATTCTGTATTGCTGTAAGCATCACTAATCAAAATCGAATTCATCTCTTTTGTATTGGGCATGTTGACATTTCAGAGTTTGGCATCTCAAAGAATTGGATACATGTGGTCAGCCCTGGTACTTGGCAGACTTGTTTGCCTACCACACTGTTCCAGAGTCTGCCCATCTGATGAACCAAACTGAATTGTATTTAGACATTTGAGATGAGAGATGAGAGCAATACAAACACCACACTACAGAAAATTGCAACACTGTTGGAGTCAAGGCTTTGTAACTGAATGCATTGGATGACTGTGGTTAGTGTTTTCCTGCTGGGTGTGCAGAGCAGTGAAGTGTGTATTTCAGATAATTCAGTCACAGACAATGGGAATAACAACAGTGTGTGTAGTCTTGGGAGTGAGGAATGCAGGGGTCAGATGATTTCTCATCATGATGATGGGTTGGCAACTCAATCCGTGAATTGGGAAGCAGGAGAGACAATAAGTCTGATTTGTTGTAAGGACACACTTAGCATTAAAATGTCCAATACCTGTAAAACACAAGCTATAGCCTATAGATGTATTCTAAGAAGAAAATGCATAGTTGTTGTTTAACCAGTGGCGTTTTCTCCCGGAGGCCAAGGGAAGCCAGGCTTCCCCTGTTTTTTTGGATTGTAGTTATAATTTAAATAAATAAATAAAAACACTTTGTTTTGTTTCGATAATTCTCCTTTGCTGTGTGTTGCTGCCGGCCCGTCTCTCCCCCATTCTCATTGAGTATTTTACAAAGAGTGAAACAAACAGCGCCCCTCTAGATGTTATGGTGAAACAGTAGATTGCACTCACTGTTGCGAGAGGAGGCCAGCTGAATCTGGCTTCCCTTGGTGAAAAAAAATGGAGGGATTGACCAATCAGATGAGGCTCACGTGATGCCCCTGCCAACCTGTGATTGGTCAGGGCCATGCCAAGGGAAGCCAGAGGCGGATGGCTTCCCTTGCCTCACAATCCAATCAAATCGCATCAATTTAGTGTGGCAGTGACGCGTCCTAAAATCCGGAAGTAAGCTGCGCTCGGTTTCCCTCGACAAAAAAAGCAATGGGATTTCTCCATAGGATTTAGGAAAATAGCTCGAAATAAGGTCAGTGGAAAACAAACCTGTTAGATAGATAAATGCAAGTTTTGTTCAGTCGGATAATAT